GGCGATCAGGGGGTTTGGGCGCTGTCCCCTGTCATGCTGATCCCGGTGCCGGGAGCCTCGCTGCTCCGCTGATCCCGGTGCTGGGAGGCATATTACCCTTTTACTATATAGGATAGAGGCCTGGTGCATGGGTAGGGGCTGGCTGGTTTGCCCTGAAGGGTGTCCTGGATCAGGGTGGGGGTCCCCACTGGGGTGCCTGGCCAGTCTGGGTGAGGGGCTGAGGGCTGTTTTCCGGCTGGCGAGTGACTAAAGCTTCCAACCGCTCCTTGTTTTCTTCTCTTTTTTTTTTTTTTTTTCTGGGCCAGCTTTAGCTCTGAGGCCTCGCTGCTGAAAACATAGATACAATGTTGCGGTCCGAGCCCGGCTGAATGGAAGCCCTTTTCTGGGGTTTTGTTTAGCTTCTTATTTGCAACATAGTATATAGTTGCTTAGAGTTGCAACTGAGAGGCCGGCAAGTGAGGCGGTGAACGTTGGAGTCTGCAGCAAGCAAGCCTCCCTGCTCGCTTCAGTGCCTGGCTGCTGGCTGCCATCTTGGCTGACAGTTAATTTGCATATACTCACTGATTAGCCAATGAAAAGGGTAGCGGTCGTACGCCAATTACCATGTTTCTCTTTTATTAGTGTAGATAGCATACAATGGTTATCAATATGGTGACAGATTCCATATAAAAACAAACTTTCAAGAAATTAGGGAATTGAGTTTTGGTTTAGAGTTAAAGGATAAAATTTACCATTATCTGAAGACACTATTAAAATGTACTTCTCTTTTCCAACTGCATATCTGTTTGAAGTCAGTTATTTTTGTGTAATTCAACCAAATCAACATATCAGGGCAAAGTGTAGGAAGTAACACAATAATCTAGTTACTAGTATTTCCTATTAAACCACTCATTTAAATATTTTCAAAAGTGCAAGGTAGGGCAAAAGTAGGTTTATAGTTGTTCATGTGGAAAATAATACAATAATTAATAGATAATGTAAAGATAAACTCTGTGTTTGTGTACGCCCAGCTGTGAACCTACTTTTATGCCACTCTGTGTAAAGTACTATCACTCTTCTCACTAATATTTTTTTTGTTTTGGAAAATAGAGGGTTTTTTAAAAAAGTATTATTTATTTTAGAGAGAGAGGAAGGGAGAGAGAGAGAGAAAGAGAAATATCAATGTGAGAAAGAAACATTGATCTGTTATCTATCGGTTTCTGCTCCCCACCAGGAATCAAACCTGCAAGCATTCTGGTGTACAGGACGATGCTCCAACCAACTGAGCCCCCTGGCTAGAACAAGGGTGTTTTTTTCTTATATTCTTATTTTTGGCAAGGGGTAAATAAATATTTAATAAATAAATATTTTTAAAATATCTCATTTTTAATATGGCGAATATGTGTAGATATAACCTGCATAAGCAAAAAAGTTTGGGGTCCTCAATCAATTTTAAGAGTACACATGGTTCCTGAGGTCAAACAGTTTGAGATCTACTTTCACATTATTCATTTTCCTACTGATTGCAGATCAGTCCTCTCTAACTCAGATAACAGAGTAAGCTGAAGTGGGCCAAATATTCCATTTATTGAGTTAGAAAGAAAGAAACTTTCAGGCCTCTTGAGGCCTTGACTCCAGAAGTCAGAGTGTAATTCCCACCACCATCTATTGGTCAAAGCAAGATCCAGGGCCAGGCCTGATCTAAATCATAAGGAGACAGACCTTTGACTCTGGAATGGAGGACTCGAACAATCTGTGATTACAGTTAATCTATTGCCATGTTGTGAATCATATGAACTGTTTCCTATTGAAAACATTTCTATTAGCTTTTTTTTTCTTAAAACTTTCATAGTTTATTAGATTAGAGAAATATCTTTGGAGAAGTGAAACCAAATTTCTCTGCCCAAAGGTAATATTTTCTTCTGACACCACACACAAGAATAAACACAAAATGTATTAAAGGCTTAAATGTTAGACATGAAACCATAAAAATCCTAAAAGAAAACATAGGCAACATAGGCAGTAAAATCTCAGACATTTCTAGTAGCAATATTTTTTCTGATATACCTCCTTGGACAAGGAAAACAAAAGAAAAAATAAACAAACGGGACTTCATCAAACTAAAGGAAACAGCTAAGGAAACCATCAACTGAATAAAAAGACAACCCACTGAATGAGAGACCATATCCGCCAATAATACATCTTATAAGGAGTGACTACCCAAGATTTATAAAGAGCTTATGTAGTAGAAGGTGCATTGGGTGAAGTGGAAGGGTGCAGGAGCACTTTATTTATTTAGAGTCTCAGTCTCTGTAAAGTTGTTAAAAATTAAAAATAAACACAAGGCTTAGAAACAGCCAAACATCTATATATATAAAACCCTAAGCGACCGAATGACCCGTCGACTGGTTGCTATGATGTGCACTGACCACCAGGGAGCAGATGCTCAGCACAGAAGCTGCCCCTGGTGGTCAGTGCACTCCCACAGCCAACCTCCCTTGGTCCCTCCCCCTGGCCAGTCGCCATCCCCCCTGCCCACCCCCCAATTGGCCCTGAGCGCTGGCGAGGATGAGGGACCCTACCTGTGCATGATTTTGTGCACCAGGCCTCTAGTATTATTATGAAAAACAAACTTTAGTGTAACTTCCTTTGAGAGGACAGCAGCTATTTTCTCATACCTTCTATATTCTAATTCTCTGCACCTGTGTGTTATTTAACATAGTTCTAACATGTTTGCTTATCCTATTTCCCAATCCACAGAAGCAATAAACAAAGCAGAAGGAAGTGGAAGAGATATTAGAGGCAGGCAAACTGCATCTATGGAAAGTTTGGAGCCATAACATTTAGCACAGTCACTGATAATATTGTCTTGTTCTCTAATAATGACAAAGCAACAAGGCCTGTGGCCCAGAGGAGTGCCTTGTAGTCTCACGATTTTCCCTTTGCCTTATACCATGAGGTCATCAACAGCTAAGAGTATTTTAATATCATAATTCTAGAAACTAAGGATGGAAAAACTCTTTTAGGAATTCATTTCATAAGTTTTATTGGCATCTGTCCATTGTTCGGTCCTTCATTTCCATCACGGTGTCTTGCTAGGAACAAAAATGATCGAGCTACATTATTTACCTTTGCAATGTTTTTCATAAAATATATGATCCTGTGGCCCAGCTGGCAAGCGTCAACCTATGAACCAGGAGGTCATTGTTTGATTCCAGGACACATGCCCTGGTTGAGGGCTTGATCCTGTGGGGTGTGCAGGAGGCAGCCAATCAATGACTCTCTCATCATTGACGTTTCTATCTCTCTCTCTCTCTCTCTCTCTCTATCTCTCTCTCTCTCTCTCTCACTCTCCCTTTCTCTTTGAAATAAATAACAATATGTTTGTTTGTCTTTTAAATGTGACCCTGTGTTTTCCCTCCACAGACCCAGGATTGCATAGGCAGCTTTATTTCCTGCAAAGACCCTTCAATGTGGTAGCCATCGAAGGAAAGGACGCTGTCCTGGAGTGCTGTGTGTCCGGCTATCCTCCCCCGAGCTTCACCTGGTTGCGAGGAGAGGAAGTCGTCCAACTCCGGTATTGTAAATTTAGGACTTCTGTGAAGTATATGCTACTGTTTATCTTGCTCTAGCTTGATATAGATACCTACAAATATTAGGGTCTTTTTAAAAAAATACATTTTATTGATTTTTTACAGAGAGGAAGGGGGAGGGATAGAGAGTTAGAAACATCGATGAGAGAGAAACATCGATCAGCTGCCTCCTGCACACCCCCTCTTGGGGATGTGCCTGCAACCAAGGTATATGCCCTTGACCGGAATCGAACCTGGGACCCCTCAGTCTGCAGGCTGATGCTCTATCCACTGAGCCAAACCAGTTAGGGCAGGGTCTTTGATAATAATTGAATATTTTTCCACATTCCTTGACATACAATATCTGAAAGACATTTACCCACTTAGATAAAGGGCGAGGAATAGTCAAAATTCATGAGATCAATTCTAAAAGGAAATTTTTAAAGCCAGATTGTCATTGAGATAATTCTCCCCCAAGAGCCTTCAGCAAAGATACTTGGAAGGTCTCATCCTAAGGAAGCATATAGAGAGTGAAATATTTCTTAAGAAATCAACATTTCTTGAATTAAAAATATTACATTCAAATGTAGTAGGTTTCTGTAACTTTTTTTAGCTCCAATGATCTCTCTCACTATCTTCTCTACAGCGAATATTTTAGGTAAGGCAGGAAAAGGACCTGGCCGGGTTTGAATCACTGTACATTAATGTTAAGGCATAGTTAGAAAGTAAACTCTTAAATAGAATGGAACACTTAGTCTGAAACATTTTGATTGAATGGGTTTCACTTAAGAAATTAATTTCATTGATTTTGAGGTTTGGCGTGCTCCTTTTCAACACATTTATTTTCTATGGTTTGATAGATGCAGAGACAATAAGTTAATCTGTAAATGTCATTTACTTTAAATCCTATATAAAGGAAGGCTAATATGCAAATTGTCTCTCGACCAGGAGTTCGACCAGGGGGGTGGGCCTATTGACCAACCTCCCGTGGCCCCTCCCCCCGGCTGGCCGCGCCCTCTATTGCCCCCACCCCACCCCACCCCAATCGCGGAGGGCTGGCCGGACCCCACCCGTGCATGGATTCATGTACCGGGACTCTAGTATTTAATAAATGGTATGGTATCACAATACTTCTGAGAATATGAGAGCATGCGGAAACCCTTCCCATCTGCAGAGTATCACAATGTGTTCCCTGAGCATAGCCGGGCATTGCTGACGCAGTGAAAGGGCCTTGTACAAAGGCTGCTAAGTAGGATGGAGGCCACAGGACATTGACCTCCGCGGTGGGGAACAACTTCTCAGGACCGGGCAGCTTTCAAATCCAAAATGAAAGAACTGGCCCAGATTATCTATACATTCTTTGCAGCACTAACATTAGTGCCAAGTTTAATCTACTTCAGTTCTTCTATCACTGCACACAGCCTTCCAATGGGAGTGGTTTACCTTGAAGGAATTTCTCACCAATAACTGCCATACCATCAAGCCCCTATGATACAGAATTTCCTTTCAGTTTTATAATTTGAATTCTCGTGGAGTTCATTTAAACCTTTGAGTACCTTGTTGATAGATGGGTATGTTCGTTTACGCTCTAATTTCATATGCTTATGTCTTACAGGTCCAAAAAGTATTCGCTATTGGGTGGAAGCAACTTGCTTATCTCCAATGTGACAGATGATGACAGTGGAACTTACACCTGCGTTGTCACATATAAAAATGAGAATATCAGTGCTTCTGCAGAGCTTACTGTCTTGGGTAAGTTAATGGCTTGAAATGAGTTTACATGGTGTCCTTCAAAATATATCACCATGACGCTTCAACTGCTTATTGCCGAATTGCTTCCTATTTTTTTTTGTGGAAAATTGCCCTCTCAATACTCCACTTGCAGCCTTGCTCTGCTTTGATTAATTGCATAGGGGTTAAATGCAGTGTTAGAATACTTGCTCATTGATTAAAATCCAGATTCATCACACTGTAGTCTATTTATTTCAGTGATACAACTGAAAACTACCAAAATTATTATTTAACAAATGTGTTAAAGAAATAAATGCGATATTCCAAAATATATTATCTGGGGAAAATAAATGAAGTGAATGAGATAAATTGCATGACAAATATGAACCTCAATAGAAAAGTCAGTTGTCATTTGAGATGACAGGGTATCTGAGAGTAAGTTCAGATGTGTTGCTGAAATTGCTTTGTTAAGATGGAAGGACTGTAGATGTTATCTTGAAAGTGAATCATTAAAATCAAATACATCTAAAGAAAACTTCCATGGCAAGAATCTAATTTAAAGAAATTTAAGGACCACAGATGGGTTCATATTATTCCAAGAGGAAGGGTCACTGGCTATCATTGCAAATTAATAATTCTTATGTATGGTAGGTACTCAAATGGGATGCATATTTTATCTCTACTCCAGATTGTTTTTAGGCCAGTTTCTTTGAATTATGTAGTTTGGAGAAAGTACATTAACATTTGAATTTCAATTGATTTTTCCTGTAACAACAAAAAATTGTCTACCAGTCTTTGAATTAGTTTTCCTCTGGAGTAAATCTTCTTACCTTTTAAAGAGCCCAGGAAAAATCATAGGCTCTTGAAAATTTATTCAGTAAAACGGAAAAGATTCGATGCACTGATTATATCTGCTAGCACATATCATAATATCATTATGCTATCCATTCTGCTTTGTGGGCTTAAAGTTTATTTTTAAAATGTTTTAATCTGTATTTAGGGTAATAATGCATATGATGGATGAGGCAATGGACTTGTTTATTCCTTGATCAAACCATAAATATTAAACTAAGAATAGGCAAAGGACTTTCATTCTTTGGTTTTGGAGGTAATGTTATTCTAACTTAAATGTCATCTGTCTTTAAAATGACAACAATTTCATTTATTCTTATACTAGAGGCCTGGTGCATGAAATTCGTGCAAGGGGCTTGGCCCTCGCAGCCCTGGCTTCAACCGGAGGTCATCCAGTTTAATTAGCACATTATGCTTTTATTATTATAGATGGAAGTTTTTGGTGAAGCAAAAAATTTTACATTTGTAACATCAAAATACAGTAACATAGAATGGCTACCATAGAAATTACCTTGTAAGGTGTATTACAGATCATAAGGCAAATACAGTTATGGGATGCAATATAATTCATAATGATCATAGGTAAGCCTCTAATTGCAAATGCATGAAGTCAAATTATATATCAAACGAATGCACAGTATTTAAATATGTAATGCCTCATTGGTATCTAAGACAAATGTGTAAATTCTGATTTCTGAGACTACAGAATTAGCCTAGAAATATCTGTACAGATGTAAATATCTGCACACATATTGACATTCATGCACATTCCTCTGTGTGTTCCTGTGCATGTTTGTGTCCTTCAGTTCTTTATTATTGAGAATTATCTTGTTTGCAAGTTTAACTTCACAAAAACAGACATTGAGATGATCATTTTTATTAGTATGTCTTTGTTATTTATTTGCTTATAACTTAAAGAAAAGTATAGCAGAAACAGTTATACTCTCACTAGCAGTGCAAGAATTTGCCTGTCGCCCAGGCCAGCCTGGCTCAGTGGTTGAGCATCAATCAACCTATGAACCAAGAGATCATGATTTGATTCCTGGTCAGGGCACATGCCTAGGTTGCAGGCTCAATCCCCAGTGTGGGACATGCAGGTGGCAGCTGATGAATGATTCTCTCTCATCATTGATATTTCTATCTCTCTCTCCCTCTCTCTTCCTCTCTGAAATCGATAAAAGTATATTTTAAAAAAGAATTTGCCTGTCATCATGAGTACATTCTTTCCTAGCCCCCAATATTTGCTTATTTAAAATTTTTATAAAATTAAGTCTTCTTTTCCTAGTTTGCATCTCTATTAAATTCAGGTTTCTTTTTATAGTTTTAATGTCATTTTTTTCACCTTTTTACTTTTATGGAAATAGTCATCTTCATTTTGTTGATTTGTAGGCGCTCTTTCTATAGGAAGAATAGTAACTATGCTGTGTATGCTCCATGTGTGTATTTTTGTCATTTTTTAAATTTAAAAAATAATTATATTTTATATATGGTACCAAGACTTTTTTTTTAATGGCTGCTGGCTTTGTGGGCTTTAGACTTACATTTTTGTTCTAAATGGATCACCTTATTTCCAAAAGTCTAGATGTGATTATGCATTGAATGTATAAATTAGAAGCAGTACTAATTTTTAAAAATAGATGGAACTGTGTTTATATCTTGGGTATTTTGGGTGTGGGTCTTTTTTGGGGGGAGGGGGCTTGAATCTTCCTAATAACTGGGTATACATTTTAAAGATTTCCCTACAACCCTCGTATAATTTATAACTATTGTAGAAGGCATAATTTAATTCAGGAGGTGATTATAATGCTGTTTTAACTGTTCTACTCAGGCTTTAAAATAAGTATCAATATAATAAAATTTTTGATATATTCTTTGACTATTCTGATATAAAGTTCATCTTGCAGGGCTGAATTTATTTGGAAAATAGAACTTAATACTCTTTTAAGTGGAAGATGAAAAATAACATGAAAATAAACATTTATGTTAATGATTATGACCTATTGGAATATCCATCAATATGTTATTGGTGAACAAGTTTTGAGTACATGCACCACATAGGTTCTGGGAAGGCTAACAAAGGTTTGAAGTCTGGCTTAAATGGGATTTTAGTACCACCACAAATGTATATAATCAGTTGCTCTAATGCCTTATGACTAAGATTTTTTCATAATGTAAACTTAGAATCAGTGAAGATATGAGGAGTTGATAGTCTCTATTCTCATAAAAAAAATAAAAGACAGAGCAGGAAGCCGGCAGGGGGGTGGGGGGTGGCGGGGGAGAAGGAGGGGTCCTAGAGAGGATGCAGAGCCAGGCTCTCTGATATGGTTCTAGCTCCTGTTTCATTTGAATCACTACTGCCATAATGAGCTACAGAGCAGTAGTCTGTCCATTTTTATTTGTAAACAGTCCACTTTGTGACTGAAGAATTATAATTACCATTTCTGAAAATATATTCATTTTTCCCTATATCTACTCACCTCCATCATCATGCAAACATTCATACGCACAGCGAGATTTGCCACTGCCTTAGGTCTAGATTGATTCCTTGTCTGAATCGATGCATACATGCATGCGTTAAAAATGTATTTGATCTTGAACCAATAAAGTGCCCAACCTTGGATAATTCCTGTGCACTGTTCATGCACACACACACAAGAAGGTAGGTGGAAAGGTCACTTTTCAGTAGAAGCCATTAGGTCTGACATCCATGAGAAAATGAAAACATTTTTGAACTTTCCAGAAAGGGTTCTGGAATTTATTTTAAAGAGGTCCGCAGCAATTTATTCAATATGCTATTGAAAGTTTACCTTTGGCCCTAGCCGGTTTGGCTCAGTGAATAGAGCATCGGCCTGTGGACTGAAGGGTCCTGGGTTAGATTCTGGTGAGGGGCAATGCCCAGGTTGTGGGCTCCATCCCCAGTAGTGGGTATGCAGGAGGCAGCAGATCGATGTTCCTCTCTCATCTCAATGATTCTCTCTCATCATTGATGTTTTTATTTTCCCTTCTCCCTTCCTCTCTGAAATCAATAAAAATAAAAAATTAAAGAAAAAAAGTTTATTTTTGTGTGTAGGTTTCTTCAATGATTTTCCTCATCAACTTTCTAGAAAAATGTTGGCTCTAATTGGCACAAACTGGTCAGTAGGAGACCAATAAGTCTGATGGGTCAGACCTTTGAACATAATTAAAGACTTGCAGCCACATCTAAGAGTTCCCCATATGCTTCATGCGTGAGGGGCCGAATCACGTCACATGGTGGTTGAGTTTATACTTTCCCAAGTAAACACCTTTTCAAGGAAGTCCTTTGGGGAAGGTGTTCCTCCTGCAGGAACTTCTCCTTAAGAAAGCGGCTCCCATGGGTCCCCTCTCTGAATGCCTGTGTTCAGGAGGCCTCTCCCCATTCACCTGAGCATGTCCACCTTAGACAGGTATGTTCTTTAAGCCTGATGGTTGTGTCTTTAGAATAATACATGTTATCTACATTCATACACACAGTTCACATATATTTTCTATTTTTAAGAAAATGTATCTTCAAAATTGATTCCCATAGTCTCTTAAATGCATATCATTATCTCAACCCATCATTAATGTACTGATTCTGAAAATGTAACTATAATAGACCAAGCTATTCAGAAAGTTTTAGGAACATTATCTTAAAAGGGAGTTAAGAAGACAGCATATGAAGATACATGGGAGAAGTTTAAACTGTTAAAAACTATCATTTTGTAATGTAGTGGGATGGAAAAGTCCACGTTAGTAACTCACTTTATTTTGAAAATGCTTTTGAATAATAAAAAAGATGGCTGAATATGTAGTGAATTATCCAATTACAGTTCTAGTCCCAGATACACAACTGAAACTCAGCATTAGTAGTAAAGCTGCGACCAACCGATGAGTGAGTGCCTCTGTGTGCTCTGCTAAGTACTCTTTGGACACAGAAAGGCCCATATGACACAGATCCAAGCCTCATTAGGAAAAAAGACAGGAAGTTGGCAATTAGTAAAAAAAAAAACCGCCCTAACCGGTTTGGCTCAATGGGTAGAGCGTCGGCCTGCGGACTCAAGGTTCCCAGGTTCGATTCCGGTCAAGGGCATGTACCTTGGTTGCGGGCACATACCCAGTAGGGAGTGTGCAGGAGGCAGCTAATCGATGTTTCTCTCTCATTGATGTTT